TCCGCTTTTGTTCTTTTGTTTCAAAACATGAACTGTCTCCCCACCGATGCAGCTGGGGTTCCGCCTTTAAGCAGGAGCTTGGCTTTAGGGCCATGGTGTGCCAAATTCCGCGAGCCATTTACGGTTTCTCAGCAAGTCCTTGCCCCGTTTCCTCGCTCCGCCTGCTCCACCTACTTGCCGATGGCCATGACTCTCCGCAGCGTCGTTGCCTTGGCTCTTGTGGCCTGCGCTGTGACCGAGGACATCTCCCAAGATGCTGCGGCGGCACTGGAAGCCCTGCCCCAGAGCTTCTGGGACAACTTCGTCTACTGCAAGTGTGGCCTTTCCTGTGCAGAGAAGGATGGCTCCGTCGGCAAGGCTTGCCATGATGTAGATCTTGTAGTAGTCAAAATGGGGTTCTGAGGGGAGGGGGGGTACGTTGCAGCAAAATTGTATAGGGGCTACAAGGGCATGGTATTCTTACTTCTTCAGGCGCCTACATTATGCGATGGCTTTGGAAGTTCATATGCAAGTAAAGCCGCTGAGTCTGATGGCAACCGTCGTGGTGAACACCACCGAACCTGAACCCTAAACCTTAAACCCTCAACCCCTAAACCCCTAAACGGCAAACCCTANNTGCGAACCCCTAAACCCAAAGTCGGGGGTGGCTTTCTCCCTTCCGAAGGTTCAGAACTCTTCACAAGCATTCAGGCACCCTTGTAATGTCGGGGGTTACAATCCTGATACAGATGTGGTGTCGTCAAGTTTGTGAAAAACGCATCTCTGCATCATGTACGACAAGCCTTGTTCCAATCATGGCCAATGCACAGTTCTAGAATGATATGCACCAAGACCCTAGTCTATTTGTCGGATCAATGCTACAACGAGCCACGAAAAAAGGAGCCCTGCATTGAAACTCCCACAAAGCTGTATTGCTCCCAGAATTCGGAAACCTCTTTGAAGGCATGTGGCTGCCTGGTATGCCCGCAGAGCAACGGCACCTCCCTGCGCGGCAGTCAGCCCGCCCATGCCGATGAGAAGGCTGCGGTGAGTGCTGAGACTGTGCAGGCCGGCAAGGGCCTTGATGCTTAGACTAGGCGTCGGGGCCTGAGTCTTGTATTATTCCACAGTGACTACCGGGAGTACTATCTTTCGGAACCCAAGCCCGCCGCCGTGTTTGCTCATGAAACAGCACCGGCTTGCAAGAACCTCACCACGAGTCGTTTTGTGGATAGGACAAGCGTGTTCTGAAATTTCAGTGGTCTAGTGCAGAGTCCTCGCAACACCGCCGACCTTCTCTGAATTCCCCGCAGGGTTTCTGGGACGGTGAGGGGCGCCAGAGTAGGTGGTGTCTGTGAGCCCCAGATTTCGCACTGTGACACCCGAGACTTTTCCGATTACGCAAGCAACACACTGCCGCCAGACCTACCAAAACCAAGCCTGCCTTGAGCCCTAAACC